CATGATGAACAATTATTGAAAGTTTTCATGTTTTTATATGTGCACTGGAGTTCGGTTTTATGAGAATCATGGTCAAAGTTACTAGGCTGTGAAAAAGCTCTGGTTAATCTCTTTGGATTGCTGTTTTCTCCTTATGCCCTCGGATTCATATCCCGTATTTGTAAATAGAGATCACATAGATGCCTTCCAACATCTGCAGTATTTGCCAATCATCTTGAGATCTTCTATTTTTCCTCAAAGTTGAGTAGTTAGTTTGTGATCGTTTCATGATTATTACGTTTTACAGGTAAGAGTTGCTGAGCCCATCGAAAATCCTGTCGTCAAAGGCTTATACGACGAGTGGCTCGGGCAGCCTGGTTCAGAGACAGCAAGAAAGTTCATGCACACAGAGTACCATCCGATGGTGAAGAGTATTGCTTCGCAACTACACAATTGGTGAGCAAAAAAGGCGACTCTCATTAACAAGGAGCAAGTTCTCCGGATCATAGCTCCGCAAGCAAATTATTATACACGGTCCAAGTTCCTTGTGGCACGGAGTGTAAACTGATTTTGTAGGCAAGGCATAGGTACAATACTGTGTTATTTTATTTTCTTCTTTATTTTCTGTATAATTTATATTACATTGTGTAACAAAGGTTTTCTCATGTAAAAATAAGAGGCTAGGCTATTCTACCTTTTTTCCTTTTATTTACGAAAATGAGACTGGTTTTTTCTGAACGGCCTAATTTATGTTTAATTTGGTTGATATATCAGAGTCGGCTCTCGATGATTATTAAAGATATTGATGTTGAACAATAATAATTTGCCTACTCATCTGATTGACAAATATTCTCTTTTGGACGGAGGCAGGTAGGGGATGGATTATTCTCACTCACAATTCCTACCCGCTACTGTTTTATCTAAAGGGCTTATGTTTTTCCAGAGATTTTGTTATAAACCCTGAAACTTGTGAAAAAAAATTCTGTTTTTGTTAGAGCGACGTCCAACAACAGTTGTTTTTTTTAATCCCATAATGAGAGTAAGAGTGCATGAATTGGGTTAATAGTGGAGAAATTCTTATGTGTCCTTGGAACTTTCTCCATGAACGGGGTCAATAGTGGGGTCTGTAAACATTTTTCATAGTGGGGTCTGTAAACATTTTTCATACATCAAATTCTATCAAAACAAATGAAGAGAAGTCTAGCAAATTACAATTAAGATACTTTTCTTATCAAGTCCTTTCAAGAAAATAAATTAGGATTGTTGAAGGGAATAAATTTTCACTGTAGACCCAATCCCAGATTTAATCCTTAAAACCGATCCACTTTAAATTTATTTATGAGAATCGACCCACTTTGAGTTAATTACGGTATTAATTAGTCGGGGTTGCTAACCCCGACTAATTAGTAGCCTAATTACAAGAGGGGTCAAGGAGAAGGGAAGGTTTGCGGCTGCTAATTAGGCTACTAATCAGTCGTGGTTGACAACCCCTACTAATTAGTACCGTAATTAACTCAAAGTGGGTCGATTCTCATAAATAACTTTAAAGTGGGTCGGTTTTAAGGATTAAATATGGGAATGAGTTTACGGTGAAAATTTCTTCTTATTGAAGGTGGGTGAGGAGTGGGGGATGATAGCGAAGCTTTGGATGATAGACGAACGTCATCAGTGACAGTAACTGAAGGAGAGATTCTTTAGTCGAAATATGTTGTCCCCAGTTATCATTGATACTCAAACTTTTGTGTAAAAAAAGTTCACCACTATTTGTTCAACTTCTCTCGCGTTTCCATCCTAGAGAACCCGTGTTGTGCTGAAGTACAAGGAAGGAAGAGATAAAAAGATAATTAAAATACAGAAACTTATAATAATAAAAATATTGAGTGTCATCTTTAGCTCATGTTATTTGGCAGCGGCTCCCAAGGTTAAAAACCTGAGTTGGATGTGTGGGTTCCATCTTTCCTTCCTGGTTTCCTGCACTCCAGGTGTAGGGAGATGAGATCGAATTTGGGATTTGGGAGGTGTTGGTAGCATTACCACTGCGTCTCACTTGAGCTACCCGTGGAGGGTTATAAAAAAAAAAAGAGATCCAGTGAGAGGATGTGGCAGTAGAAGTTAGCACTCTTCCATTAAGCTACAACGTCTTTTGTATCAACAAAAACTTATATTATTGCAGTTGAAGGTGATAATAACAACGTGGATTATAGTTTGTTCCACTCTAACTCTACGTCACTGCTCTGATTAGAAGCATGACGGACGAACAAAAAGAAAGGGAATAACAGTTTTTTTTTTTGAGAAAATTGCTTCTAACCCCAAAATGGGGAATGTAATTCGCCTCTCCCCCTATACTATTTCAACACATCAAAAACTGTATTTTCAGACACTACATCCATTTTGGCCATCGGGCCTTGATCTTTCCACTTTTGGACATGTTTTGAGACAGTGTGACTCAAAGAAGAAGAAATTTTTCTTCACAGATTCAAAAACTGGAGAAGACGTTGAGTTCCCATTCAACATTGAATGGGTGATTAACCATACATGGTTCACAAATGAGGGGGATTTTGTTAGCCCCAACTGAGATCAAAATAATTATATTTCGAAAAGATGTTTTAACAAAAATGAGGATGATAGTAAGCCTCCCCCTTCACCTACTAGACACTATATTGAGGGTCTACTCATGAAGCTCATACAATGTACGAAGTGAGATGATGTAAAGGACTTTGTCTTGCTATAGATCATGTATCAGGAGTATGATCTGATGTCCTAGCACCGTTCTTAGGATCCCAAGGCACTTCTTCAAGGTTGTTAACATTGAACAAGTAAAGAGCACCACTTGTGGACCTATATTGAACATGAAAGAAACATTTATACCTACAAGGGTGTACCCAGCTTGTGTCTGTAAGTATTCCTACTGTTTATTATTATGAATAATGACTAGATATTACGTGTATTTATTGGTTGTGTAGGTTATTAATTTGTTGTTAAATATTGTAATTAGTTATTAAGGTTAGCTCTTAGTTGTTAAGGTTACGTAAGTGTACAGTTTTGTTGTTAAGTTTATAGCTTTGTTGTTAAGATTTTAGATTGGTTGTTAAGATCGTAGGTTGGTTGTTAAGGTTGCAGATTGTTTGCGAAGGTTATAAATTGGTTGTTAAGATTACAGATTGATTGTTAATATTTCAGATTAGTTGTTGAGGTTACAAATTGGATGTTAAGGTTATATAATGATTGTTAAGGTTATAGATTGGCTATTAATGTTTTAGATTAGTTGTTAAGGTTTCACAATTTAAATTTATTGCTCATTTGTTAAGGTCCTTGCTATTTTAAGAGTTTATTATCTTTTATTTTCCTTGTGCAATTATGATATTATCAACTCACTAGAATCAAGAATCCAGTAAGTAAGAGTAGGTCAAGGACTTCTCTCATAAATTGGGTAAGACTGGGAGAAGTTGGGGTTCACTAAGTATAGTAACTGTTGAAGCCAAAGCTATGCAAGCTACGATAAAGCTTCCAGAGATATGTGAACAAGTTCCAAGAGGGGAGAAAGTTTTTTAAAAACTAGGGTTAACTTTGCTGGAGAAGGAGAAGGAGAAAGAGAAAGAGAAGCAGAAAGAGACAGAGAAGGAGAAAGAGAAGAAGAAGGAAAAGGAGGAAAGAGCTGTAACAAAATTATGGAGAGAAAAGAAAAAGAAGGAGAAGGAGAAGACTGACACTGGTAGGGCACATAGCCTAAGACATGTTATCCCTAAAATAATTTTAGAAAGGGATCAGAAGATACTAACAATCTTATTGTATGAGTAAGCATTATAGTTGCTACTGATTAATTGTGAAGTATATCTCGTAGTTGTTAATGTTATCTCTTAGTTGTTAAGGTTTTTTTTGGGGGTTTTTACTGGATACTCTATTCCTCTATTGCTTAGATTAATTTTGAGAACAATGATGAAGCCATCAAGCAAGACGATGAGGCAATTGATCAGCTGTAATTGCCTCAACAACTGAGGTTTTGGAAGAGGATCTGATGATCAATCAAAGATTACGTTGCGACATGGAGAAAAAAATTTATAAGGAACATAGAGCCTCCAACCAAGAAAAGATAGCTGCTCTATTTGTAGAAATGACATGGCTGCACCAGGAGTTGAGGAATACAAAGGGAAGAAGTCAGACTTCATATAAGAAAGTGGCGCACAAGCGAGCAATGTAGAAGGAAAGAGGTGTCGAGGACTAAGAAAGTGTCCAAAGTGATGGAGGAGCAAACTACCACAGGTCAGCTAAGTTTATTATTGATGTTAATTGATAGTTGTTAAGTATAATAAATGATTGTTAACTATACAAATTGGATATTAAGGCTATAGATTATTTGTTAAGTTTACAGTTTTGTTGTGAAGTTTGCAAATTAGTTGTTAATGTTAAACTTTTGATGTCAATAAAATAAATTGGTTGTTAAGGTTGGAGATTGGTTGTGAAGTTTATAGTTTAGTTATGAAGTTTATAGCTATGTTGTTAAGTATATTAATTAGTTGTTAAGGTTGGAGATTGGTTTTGAAGCTTACAGTTTAGTTGTTAAGGTTATAGCTTTATTGTTAAGTATGTTAATTGGTTGTTAAGGGTAGTGATTAATTGTTAAGCTTACAGTTTCTTATTAATTATAGAGTTTCTTATTAATTATAATTGGGAAAACCTTAAGCATAATTAGTGGTCTTTGAATTAATTGTTAAGTAATTATTTTTATGTCAGGCACTCCACCCAAGATAGGCACTCCACCTGACATGAAGACTGAGAAGAAAGTCTCTTCACCAGAGGTTGATTTTGTTGATGATGATGGAGGAAATATGATCGAAGATGATGAAGTTCCTCTAAGTTGTAGAATGAAGGAAATAAAAAAATAATAAGAGAAAGAGGAACACAAGTATGGTAACACCCCTGAAGAGAAGCAGAACCAAAAGATATGTTAAGCCTTCAAAACATGTAGTTACTCCTTACACTGAAGATATGAAGAAGGCAAATAAGGAAAAATGTGTGTGTGTGTGTGGGTGGGTTGGGGGGGGGGGGGACAAGTTGTGGAGGAATTAGGTAAGCAAAACGTGGGGAGAAAAATAGAGTTGAAGTGGGTTCTGATGAGGATATGCTGCCTGTCGATATATATGGTCATCCCCTTAAATCTGGAAGATTTTTATTTATACTCCTATGTTGGAGAATGAAGAAAAATATTTAGAAGATTTAAACATTGGAATTCCTTTTCGTCAAGGCTTCAAAATCAAATTTTATGATAAGTACCCCACATTGCTGCATAATCTTAAGATCTTAGAAGATGTTGCTGCCAAATTTACAAAAGAGGAGAACAAAACTCTCAAATTTGAAGGTACAACAAGTAAATATTTACCTCATAGTTTAATTACATTGCTTAGTTGTTAAGGTTATCTCCTCCTAATTATTAAGGCTATCTCCTATTGTGAAGGACCAATTGGTTGCTAGGTTTACAGATTGGTTGTTAAGTTTACATCCCAGTTGTTAATGTTATAGATTTATTATTAACATACAGATTGGTTATTAAGGTTCCAAAATAATTGTTAAGAACAATATTTTATTGTTAAGGTTAGCTATTGGTGGTTAAGGGTTATTAATTATATTTTCATATTATTCAAAGTGTACAGACCTAAATGGTCATTTGTAGGCAGATTTGAAATGTTTTACATCTTACGTGGTGGTAGACTTGATGATTTTGTAAGATTCATAATTA